TCGGAAGGAAGGTTGGGCAATCCTACTTCCGTAGTGATACTGCCTCGGAAACCCAAGGAGGGGTCGCTATGAGTCGGGTTTGACTCGACGGCACAAAACAACAACAACAACATCCTTTAATTACTTCATGCTCAAAAAAGTTATTGATATAGGTTCACAGATACTAATTACCACCGTGTTGTAGCTAAAACACCAGAAAATTTGACAAAATTAGCGACTATGAAAACACCAGCAGCAAGAATACAACAGTGAGTGCAGAAAAAACCACTGGAAGCATCATTGTAATTGGGTAATAATGACAGCTCTGACCTGAGCACATTAGAAAGTTCAAAAGTAAATTAACATAGAGTTTTAGCTTTGTAGGTGTATTGATACATGTAAACTGGGCTTAGGAAAAATGTTTTTGTTGTTATAACTACAAAGATACTTTTATTTAAAATAACAATTTTTTTTCTGAAAACAATGCTCAGAAATTTTATAGACAGTCATTTTGGTGTCATCCCCCTCAGGCAATCTCACCTAATTGTTTACAATCTACAACCCCCCACAGACACAGTCCCTACTGTCACACCACTGGATGGATGCCCTGGCCTCTGTGTTTCCTGTTTATGTGTGTGTGTGTGTGTATGTGTTGGGGGGACAGAGTTGGTTGGTGGCTGAGGTGCTAAAAGTGAGAGGAAGGAGGAAGTAGGCCTGGGGCAAGAGCTATCCTTTCCTTTGGAGAACTATAGGAACAATTTCCATGTGTAATCCATGACTTCTGCTTTTATGAGGGTGTGTAAAAACTGTTTGTTGACCTGTTGGCTTCTCAGCATTATTTACCCTTCTGAATCAGTTTAATGTGGGGATGTGGGGATGTGGGGGTAAGGGGGTGGGGAGGGAAAGTTGTCTAGCCCTTTGGGAGAATAGTCCTATTCCATAGTTTTTTCCAGTCCTATTCTGGTGCAGTGGTTAAAGCATTTGGCTGCTAAGCAAAAGGTGTGTGGTTCGAACCCAGCCACTCCAGGAGAAAGATGAGGCAATCTGCTTGTGTGAAAGATTTATAGTCTTGGTAACCTTATGGTCCTATAGTGTCACAAGGAGTTGGAATTGAATGGACGTCAGCAGGTTTATTCTGGGCCAGTGATGTGTTAAGTCCATAGAGGGGTAAACAAATTATTGCAAATGATTTGCAATAATTGCAAACGTCATGAGAGACATTTGCTTATAGAATTATGTATGACATGTGAAGGAAATACAAAGGAGGAAACAATTCTGTGAGGCAGGAGGCGATGGCTGCCAAGCTATTTGAAGAATAAATGGTTGTTTGTTGAGAAGGAAAGGTGGAAAAAGATGTGGCAGGACCAAGGGATGCTAGTCGCCTGCCTTAGTCTCTTTATTTCTCCACCTTCTGAAGTTGTTTTAACAGCTGCATAGCATTCCGTGGTTCAGGCCATGACTCTTAGTACAATATTGAATAGAAATGGTGACAACAGTAGGTATCCTTGTCTTACCAGCATCATTGTTATGCTTCTAAAAGTTCACTGTTAATTATGTTCTCTGTTGTAGTTCATAGGTTCCTGGGTGGCACAGACAACTACAAACCTAAGGTTGATGGTTTGGACCCATCTAGTGGGACTGTGGAAGAAAGGCCTGGCAATCTGCTTCCAAAAAGATTACAACCAAGAAAATAATATGGAGCTGTTCTAGTCTGTAATACATGGGATCTCCATGAGCCTAAATCAATTGAACAACAACGGGGGTAATCCTTAAATACAAAATAGACAAAAAACAGTTGCCATAGAGTGCATTCCCATGTATTTAATGCATTATGTATATTATTAAGGTTCCTGGGTGATGCAAACAATTAAACACTCAACTACTAGCTGAAAAGTTTGCAGAGCAAATCCACCCAGAGGTGCTTTCAAAGACAGGCACAGGGATCTGCTTCTGAAAGGTCACGGTCTTCAAAACCCTATGGAGCAGTTCTGCTCTGTACACGTGACATCACAATCAGTCAGTGTCAACTGGACAGCTACTAACAGAAGCATTTTATCTAGCAATTTTATAACTATGACTCATGAGATTGTTGTTGTTGTTGTTAGGTGTCATCAAGTCCCTTCCGACTCATAGGGACCCCATGCACAGCAGAACGAGACACCGCCCAATCCTGCGCCAGCTCCATGATCCTTGCTATACTTGAACCCATTTGTCACAGCCACCATGTCAATCCATCTTGTGGAAGGCCTTCCCCTCTTTCATCGACCCTCCACCCTACCAAGCATGATATCCTTCTCCAGGGAATGGTCCCCTCTGTCAACATGACCAAAGTAGGTGAGACGAAGTCTGGCCATTCTTGCTTCTAAGGAGATTCTGGCTGCACTTTTTCCAGGACAAATTTGTTAGTTATTCTGCAGTTCTGTGGTACTTTCAGCATTCTTCGCCAGCACCACAACTCAAAAGCATCAACTCTTCTTCGGTCTTCCTTATTCATTGTCCAGCTCTCACATGCATACAAGGTGATTGGAAATATCATGGCTTATGTCAGGTGCACCTTAGTCCTCAAGGAGACATCCTTGCTCCTCAGCACTTGAAAGAGTTCCTTCGCAGCCAACCGGCCCAGTGCTACACATCATCTAAAGTCCTGACTGCTGCTTCCATTGGTGTCGATTGTAAAACCAAGCAATGTGAATTCTTTGACAACCTCAATCTTTTCTCCATTTATCGTGATGCTGCTTATTGGTCCAGTTGTGAGGATTTTTGTCTTCTTTATATTGAGATGTAATCCATACCGCAGACTGTGTTTCTCAATCTTCATCAGTAAGTGCCTCAAGTCATCCTCACTTTCAGCAAGCAAAGTTGTATCATCAGCGTCTCTCAGGTTGTTAATGATTCTTCCTCTAATCCTGATACCACATTTTTCTTCATATAGTCCAGCTTCTCGGATTATTTGCTCAGCATATAGCTTGAATAAGTATGGGGAAAGAATACAACCCTGACGCACTCCCTCTAAGGGAGAAATCTGTTCTGTGTCTCGGCATCTTTGGCTTGTAGATAGATGCATTAGTCCAATCTGTGCCTCAGATGTCACATAGGGTTCTCACTGTATATCTCTTTCTGTCTCTACTTATAAGGACACAAGTCAGATTGGATTAGGGACCACTCTGTTGTAGTTGTTGTTAGGTGTTGCTGCCGAATTGCTTCTGACTCATAGCAACCCTATGTGGAACAGAACAAAACACTGCCTGGTCCTTTTGCATCCTCACAATCATTGTATAAGCCCATTGTTACAGCCACTGTGTCAATCTATCAAGGGCATCTGTTGTATTCTTCTTTTTCACTGACCCTCTACTTTACCAAGCATGACAGCCTTCACCAGAATGGATCCCTCCTGATAATACTTCAAAAGTATATGAGATGAAGTCTCACCCTTCTCCATTCTAAGGTGGATTCTGGCTATACTACTTCCAAATCAGATTTATTCGTGCTTCTGGCAGTCCAGAATATATTGAATATATTGAATATTCTTTGCCTACACTGTAATCCAAAGGAATCAATTCTTCTTTGGTCTTCCTTATTTATTGTCCAGCTTTCACATGCATATGAAGTTATTGAAAATATCATATCTTTAGGCAGGCACACCTTAGTCTTCAAAGTGACATCTTTGCTTTTTTAATATGGCCTCATTTTAACTTGATTACATCGACAAAGGAGGTCTAATGGTAAAAGCATTTGGCTGCTAATCAAAAGCTTGGTGGTTCAAATCCACCATCTGCTCCATGGAAGAAAGATGAGGCAGTCTGCTTCCATATTTACCTTGGAAACCCAATGAGGGTCACAATAAGTTGGAATCAATTTGATGACAGTGAGTTTAATTTTTTATTTTATTTAACATCTGAAAAGACCAAATAAGGTCATACTCACAGGTACCAGGGTTTAGGACTCCAACATATATTTTTGAGTGGCACAA